CCCCCCCCCGAGGCCTCAGGTCCTGAGACCCCTGAGAAGCAGCCCCACCCTGGCCCACTGTGCCCAGGCCCGTGCCGTCCTCGAGGCAGCCCTGGGGGAGCAGTGCCCGGTCAGCAGGAGGAGCCCAGGCTTGGAGAGCACAGCCGTCCCAGGGCAGGCCCTGCGGGCTCTCTCCCCAGCACCCCCTACATGCCGCCAGAGGCCGTTCTGGAAGGTCCTGCCCCTAATTCCAACCAGTTCTTTACCTTCCTTGTGCCTTAACTCCCAGTGCTGCCCCCTTCCCTGAGACCCAGAAACTCTGCCCCCCTGGGGAGAGGTGACGCTGAGCTAAGCCTGTTCTCCTGGAGGGGGACAAGTGTCAGCCGGGGGTGCAGGTGTTTCCTGGTCCCCTCCCTTCACTGCCAGGCAACGCCAAGGCTCCCTGATTCTGCCCCCCACCCCTGCCTCCCCATCGCTGAAACCACCCCCCAGAGGGTTCCTGTCCTTCTTCTGGAGAGCCAAGACCCACCTCCACCTCTGAAGTGCATGATGTCCAAGGTCGGTCCTAACCCCGGAACCCCCCCAACCCCCTGCTCACCTCTGTTCCTTCCTATATATTAACTGACACCCCAGAACTCCCTCAACCCCTTTCTCTGTTGTAGAAAGCCCCCAAACCAAGGAGCACAACCCCCCTCCCAAGCCACCCCAGGCTGTGCTGGCCCTGCCACCTGGGCTCCTTGTGCGCTCACCGCCCAGGCTCCTTAAGGCACTCTTGGGGCCGAGGTCCCTCTCGCGGGGAGGACAGCATCCCACCCACTGGGCCTGGTGGCCTCTTCACAGCTGTGCCCCCAAGTCCCTGGCCCTCAGCACAGCCAAGCAGCATTCTTGGCCCCTGTGCACCCCTCACTCCCACTCCCAGCCTGGCTCCAACACCTCCAGGAAGGACCCCACTCTCCACTGGGGGGACGGAGCCAGCACCCCTCTCCATCCTGGAGCTGTGATCCCGTGGCCCTCTCCCCATCGCCTGTACTTGAGCAGCCAGCGTGTGACAGTGAAGAATGTGCTGTGAGTGGGACCCCTGGCCCAATCCCAGCCCCCATCTCCTAGTGGAGACCTTGCTGGAACTCGGCCTCCCTGTGACTGTCCCCTCTTGGGGACTGTGAGCCTGGGGTTGGGACCCTGTGCTGAACCAGGCGCCCTCCTCACTGAGTGCTGCATGGCTCGACCGGACAGAATGGGGACCAGCAGCGGCAGACCCTGCCAGCCCACCCCGTGTGACCGCTCTGTAGCCGAGTAGACCACAGCATCTGCTCCTGGCTCCTCCTGTCCCACTTCTTGGTCCTCTCACCCACCTCTCACCCCGGGAAGTGTGATGTTGACCTGGTGTGCCTGTGGTGCCGGCCCTGGCCTCCAGCACCCCCAAAGCCTGCCCAGCGCGGGGTGCTCAGCAGAGGAGCGGGGCAAAAGGGCATAGGACTTCGTCTAGGAGCCCAGGTCCCCTGCTTACTCCTCCAGGCCTGGGACCCAGCTCTGCACACAACCCCACAACCTACCACCCGAGGCTGCCTGGTTGCGAGCAGGGGTCTGCCCGTCTCGCCAGCCTCCGCCCGCTCCACAAGGCCTGGACCCTCATGCTATTCAAGGCCCCAGGACACTGAGGTCTCTGTCCCCTTGTGGCCCCAGCAAGGCCTGGACCAGGACCAGCACTCAGCCGAGAAGGAGCTGCGCTCAAGCTGTGGGCTCCGGAGCTCACAGCTCTGCCTATAGGCACCCCACCCCTCCTCAGGGCACCCGATCCACAGCCTCTCACCACACTGGCACGCAGGGCAGGGCCAGGCTCCCGGGCACCCAGCGCCGACCACACACACACAGGTGGGCGCTCCGCAGCTCTGGTCCTCCGTGGCCACTATCCCAGGATTCCTATCTTCTCCAACAGAAATGACAACCCCTGCAGCAGGCTGTGCCCCGAAACACAAAACTCAAGATGTGGTCTGAAGAAGCCTGCGGGTCCCCAAGGCCAGATTTTCATTTACTTTCACCAAAACAGCACAGGAGACAGATTGCGCAGGACCTCGCTGGCCTGGGCGCCGCCCCCCGCCCCCGGCCCCCGGCCCGCCGCCCCAGGGCCTTTGCACCTGCCCCTCAGAACGCCAGGGATCTGCCCTCATCCCTCACCCGGCTCGCCTTCCCGTCCCTGACCAGCTTCCTCTGCCCCAATAGGCTTGTTCCCACGGCGGCCCCCCGGGACCTGTGGGCCCACTGACGCCTGTGGGTTCGCCAGAACCAGATATCAAGGACGTCATCCGCACGGCGGCAACCGGCACGGCGCCTCCAAAACCGTCTCGTTAGCGCGCAGGGACGACCCGGGGTGCAGCGGAAACGCCCGACCCAGGGCCTCTGAGAGGACACCCCCGCAGGGGGACGGATCGGGGCTCCGGGGCCTGGAGGGCGCGTCCGCCGAACCTGGACCGCCGCCGGCCCAGCCCCCGAGCCCCCGCGGCCCCGACGCCACGGAGCCCGAGCCTCACCTTCGGCCGCACCGCTGGCCACGAGGAGACAGGCAGACCGGCTCGGGAGCCGTTCGGACGCCATGGCTCGGGATGCGGGGCGGCGCGTGCGCGTGCGGGGCGAGGCGTGCACGTGCGCGGCGGGGCGTGCGCGCGTCTGGGAGGACGGAGGTCACGTGGCCCGGAGCCCTGGGAGACGAGGGGCTAGCCGCGCGGCGCGCATGCGCATTCCCTCTTGCCGCCCTTGCTGCTTCTGGCCTCGCCCGGCCTACTCCCCGGGCAGCGTCCCTTGCTCCTCTCCTAGTGCGGGCGAGGGTCGGATTCCCGGTCCGAGTCCGTCCGGTCCGCCGCGTCCCCAGTCCCCTCCCTCAACACCATCAGCTGCAGAGGGGTCCCAGTTTGGCCGGAGGGCCGCCATGCAGGAACATGAGGAGTCTCCCTAGAAGGATGTCCTAGCCCTGCCCCCGGGTCCAGCCAAAAATATGGTTTCTTCTCCTTCTCCAGTCCCTTAACCCGAGCAATAAGCACTTCCAGCCAGCGCCGGCCCGGGGAGAGGGCGCCTCCCTGTGGACGAGGGGCCCTCCCCGTGGACATGGGTCTTTCCCCACGGACCTTTGTCCCTCCCTGTAAGCCCTTCCCTGTGGACGAGGGCCCCTCACTGTAGGCGTGGGCTCCATCCCGTGGACGAAGGCCCCTTCTCGTGGACATGGGCCCTATACAATCGATCACCGCAGGCCACCCTGTGCCCCCACCCCACCGAGCCCTAGAGGACACACAGGGAATCCCAGAGGCAAACTCCTGCCCAGTGGGGCTTACTCCAGGAGAGGGAGCTGGACAGTGGTCTTTGTAGAAAGGTAAACCGCAGTTTGTTACAAGCTGGCAGGAGCATGGGGTAGGCGAGACCAGGGTACCAGGGACCGGAGGGGGCCAGGTAGGACGAGAGCTGAAACAGGTGGGCCATCAGGGTGGGCCGCAATGGAAGGTGACATTGGAGGCCAAGTGGCTCCAAGCAGCGGGAAGTTCTGGCCAGGATCCTTGGGGCACAGTGGGATGATGGGGCTCGGGAGGCCCTGTGCGGGCAAGAGTGGAGCTGCAGACCAGGGAGGGGGGCCAAGGGGCCCATGGAGGGGTTGAGGTGGAAGGATTCCAGCTCAACAGGACATTTGTGGGGAGACAGAGAGGGGTATCCAGGGTCACTCTTGGCCTGAGCTCCTGAGAGAATGGTGACATCGTTTCCCGAGAAGGGGATGCACCAGGGACGCTGGGTTCGGTTAGGAAAATCGAGGGTGCAGTTTGGCTGAGTTGCATTTGAGGTGGTTTTTCTGTAATTTTTGAGGAGCAGGAGGGCTGGGGGTGTACATGTGGGGCCACCAGTGGTCAAATCGTGGACTGGAGAGAAAAAGACAGCGGCTTGGGACCCAGTGCCAGGAGAAGGGCCAGCACGAAGGGCCTGGCGGGAAGGCCTGGCTTGGGTCGGGAAGGCTCAGGTATGGAAGCATCCATCATGGAAGGCTCAGGCATGGAAGGATCTGTCTGGGCAGGGTCGGGCGTGGAAGGATCCGTCAGGGCAGGGTCAGGTAGGGAAGGCCCAGCATGGATGAGTCTGGCTGCAGGTTTTATCTGAGGTCCTGCCAGCCTCTGCTCAGAGTAGGGAAGCCATTGTGATGGTTGAGAACCACCCAAGTGCCCAAATCCGCAAAGTCTATGGGAGACACCTCCTACCGGCCCCACCTTCTCCATTCAACGACCCACCATGAAGGGGGAGGCCTGCCGGCTCTCCCAGGCCCTGACCACACTGGCTGGTCAGCAGCTCCCTGCCTCACCTGCTGCCCAGCACTCCAGCCTTGAGGAGGAGGAGAGCTGAGGGCACAGGTCCCCGAGACAAGCAGGGTGCAGCAGGAGAGGGCCCAGGAGCCTTGATGCCAGAGTTGGAGGGGGTCTGGATGGAGACATACAGGCCTGAGGTCCGACCCACAGGCTGGCCTGGTCATGCAGGGGTGCATCTGGGTGTGTGGCACCCCCCAACACACACTCACATACATGGGTGTCAGAGCTGTAGCGTGAAGGCACAGGGTCCAGCAGCTCACCTGCCCCATCTGCAGCCCCTGCTCCCACCCCCACCGACTGAGCCCATGGTCACCAGGCGCTGCGTCTCTAGGACCTGCCACCCCACCCAGGGGCAGCTCCTTAATGTGGCAAAATGTGGCTGCAGTGCCACGTCTTTGTACCCCAAATTACTGGGACTCCTTAAGCCGAGCTGTTTCTCCTCTCTAAGGAGGAGGAGGGCGGGGGAAGTCGGGGCCTTTCCCTGATGGTGGGTAGAGAGGCTGGTCTGGGTGTGCAAGAGTGCATATGAGCATGTGCAAGCGTGCATCTGTGCTCACAGACGGTGAGCACCATGTACACAAGGGAGCAGACCTGGGCCCAGGGCGGGCGTGTGTACGTGTGTGTGACCCTGGGTGCAGGATGGGGTGCATGCATGTGTCTGCGACCCGAGGCACGAGGGCGAGTGCGCACACCGGTCAGCCAGTAGGAGAGCCTGTGAGGGTGCGAACCCACAGGGCACTGGGGAGCAGGTGGCCCAGACCGTGGCGGCGTGTGGGAGGAGGGCCTGGACAAGGGGCATTGGTGGCCCAGGGCAGCATCCAGCAGGAGCTGTTCTCTGGTCTGCCTGGGGCCTGCCTCTCTGTGTCTTCTGTGTTTAGCAGGTGTACACAGACAAGGTGACCCCAAGGGCCTGTCACTGGGATTGAGTCCTCGAGTCGGGGTGCCCCTCCCTGGGTGGAGTTGCTGCCTAGCCACTGAGCAGCAGCCCCTACCCCCATGCCGTGCCCAGTTGTACTTGGCACATCTGCCCCTTTGGTGGCTTCCCTTTCTGAAGGGTCAGCCCCCTATCCCCTCCTCCCAGCCCTGGCGGACTCCCAAGCCAGCGAGGCTGTACCTCCTGGACATACTGCCCTGAGCCGGGACACTGTGAGTGCCTTGAGCCCCAGGCCCTCCCCTGGATGCTGTGAAAGTTAGTGTTTGGTCTCAGGCCAGGGGGGACCACGCACCCTGCCGGAGGCTGCTGGTCTGCTCCCCGGCCTCAGGCCAGCCCTCCCTGATGCCTCAGGGTGACCCCTGCCCCATCCAACCATCTGGGGCCCTGGGAGGTCCCTCACACCTCACCCATCCAGGGCCCAGGGCGAAAGTCCTGCGTCACCCCCACCCCCACCCCAACCGGTGCTAAAGGGGTACGCAGTATGGAGGCAGGTTGGTTCCATCCCTCTACCCAGGCCTGACAGACCACACCTGACCCCACGCTGTCCGTGAGTGGCTTGCCCACTGCAGGGACACCTGAAGGAGCTTCTCAGAGCAAGTAGACACCCGTCCGGTGCAGCACCTCCTGTGACCCACCTGCCCAGGGTCAGCCAGGGGAGGGGAGGGCACCCAGGCCCCCCTTAGGGGTGACATCTGGGCCAGGTGACTGAGCACGATGGGGGCTGCTGCAGGGGAAGGCGGGCAGGTGCCTTCTCCTCTCAGGACCAGGTGGGCCTGCAGCCAGAGGCCAAGCCCTGGGCGGGCAGCAAGGCTCCTGTCTCATGGAAAGGGTCCCAGGCCTAGGGGGAGGGGTCCCACTGATGGAGGGCCAGGGCCTCCCCTCCGGGGCCTGTTGTGGGGCATGTCCAGGGCTGTACCTGGTGGTCTGCCCCACTCCACCCCGTCCTTCCCACTGAGCCTGCTCCCAAGACTCTGTCCCGGGCTGGAAGCTGGGGTCCTGAGCTGTGGGGCACCAGCACCTCCCCTACAGGCGTGGTGTTGGGACATCACCTACATGCTGGTCGGCGCCCAGGTGGCGCAGGTCGACGTGGCTGGGCCTGGGGAGGCAAGGGGGCTAGGCACAAGGGCTTTCGGGGAAGGGGATGGTGACGGCCTTGAACCTGGGGTCTGCTTGTTCAGGAACCCTCAGGCACGGAGTTGGGGGGTGGCAGACATGCATTGTCACTCCCCTGTGTCTGGAACTTTTCTCACGCTGGGGTTGAGCTCCAAGGAGGATGGGGGTGGGGGTCCTCGGCGACTTTTAGCCCTGTAGGGGTTGGGGGAGAGCTAGCCACTGCCCCTGGCTCTCCAGCCTCTTCAGCCTTCAGCCTGGCCTGCCTTGGGGCTCTGGTCTTCCAGCCTCCGGAGCTTTTCTCCTGGGTGAGCCTCCCCCTTGAGAACACACCTGAGCCTTTCTCTGCGGCTTTGCACTTGCTGTCCCTCCCTGAAACACTAGAGCGATTTCTCTGCCCTTCAAAAACTCCTGACCATCTCTCAAGGCCCGTGGGCACCAGAAGGTCACTCTGCCAGCCCGTTTTCCTGAGAGCCATCCCACCCCCTCCCACAAGGTTGCTCTGTGCCCTGGCCACCCTGGGGGACCTCAGATACGGAAACTTGGAATTGGGAGACTTAGGGGTTCGGGGGTGGGGGGAAGGTGTGCCATGTGGCCCTGCTTCCTGCCACATAGAGGGGGCAGCAGAGGAAGCCAGGCATCAGAGGAGGGGGTGGCAGCACCGCCCCCTCCCCCAGCGGCATTCCGGCACCTGCTCTGGGGTTTCCCTCGGCCAAGGCTAGGCTGGTGGTGTCCTCAGATGGAGAACCAGCACCTGAGTAACGACGGTGGGAAGCTCCTGAACCGTGGGCTGTGGAGGTGAGGGAGGTGGGCTGGGGCCCAGGCTGGCCTGTCCCATGCCCAGGGCCCCAAAGATGCCCAGTGAGCAGCTTGACAGAGCCCTCCTCCTGCATGTGGCTGGGGTGTCTGAGCCACGTGTCGAATTCCTAGCTGCCCCGAAGGTTTGTGTGTTGGGAGCAGACCTGGGGTCCAGAAGGGTTTCCAGGAGCAGATTGAGCAACTCCCCTCCAGCAAACCTCCAGGTACTTGGCTGGGCTGGAGGGCTGGGGCTGAGTCCCAATTACCCCTGTCTTTGTGCCTGGTCACGGTGACGGGCCCAGCTGGACACAGGGCTCAAGCAGCAAAGGAACCGAGATGACTCACACCACCAGGGCCGGGGCCAGGGACCAGGGACGTCACCATGGTGCTCTGCACTGCTGCCAGGCCCAGCCCCTCGCCCGCCAGGACAGGCTCCCTCTCGCTGGGGCCCGCGGTGCTGGCAGCCCAGCCCCTCACCTGCCAGGACAGGCTCCCTCTCGCTGGGGCCCGTAGTGCTGGCGGCCCAGCCCCTCGCCTGCCCAGCAACCCATCCAACAGTGAGTGCACTCCACCCAAGTCCAAACCCCTGGCTGGAGGGGATCCAGCCACAGCCGGGACCTGCCACCAACATGCAGGGAGGGGGCTCTGCCGGCCGGCCCAGGTGTCAGCGTGGCCAGGAACCGCGGCAGCCTGGGTGAGTGTCCACAGGGGTGGGCCACGGCCACATCCGGCCTGTTGGGGCCTCAGTCCCTCCGCCCGACAGGGAGAAGAGCGGGTCTGGCGGCCCAGCCTGGCCCTGTGCTTGATCAACAGTCACACCGAGAACGCATGGGGGGCTCTGAAGAGAAGCAGCGGGATCTTGGTGGGAAAGGAAGATAGGGAGGAAAACTTGGCATGCACCAGGGCCCAGCGGGCCGCGGCATTGGGAGGGCCCGTGGGGGAGCCGCCAGGATCAAGGCCTGGAGGTGGCCAGCGGGGCCAGTGAAGGGGCCTGGGGCTCCCACCCTCCCCAGAACACCCCAGGTGTGGATCTGTGACCCCCATCCCCCAGTGCAAAACCCATGCCCCTCCAGCCTTATGCAGGTGAGGACACCAGCCAGGCCATTAGAGAACATAGTTTATTTCAGACTCAGCGTCCACGCAGCTTGGGGTCCTGGCGGCCAGCTGGCCCTGTGCCCACTGCCAGTCTCTGAGAGCCCACCCTTGGCCGCCACCAACGGGTCAAAGCTGGACCAGACTTGCAGGCGGGTCTCCTCGCAGTGACGGGCAGCGGACGCAGGGAAGGCCTCTGCCGAGCGGTTCTACTCTACCTGTGTTATTGCATGTATACGCTTGTTTGGCTCGGAGGGTACCAGGTTGGGCAGGAGGAGCGGGCTCTATCCACCCCCAGCACAACCACAGAGGGGTGGGGAGGGGTCTCTGGGGGGGGGGGGCTGAAGGGGCTCCAGCCTCAGGGCCCACCCAGGGCTGGAGAAGGGGGGCAGCCTTGGAGCTCCATCTTTCTGCCCGCCAGGAGACAGTGGGGGGAGGGACAGTGGGAGAGGACATGACCGCCCACTGGAGACCCAGAGCAGAACTGGGTGCCAAAACAGCCATGCCCTTTAATGTCCCCACAGGGACTGGGGTCAGGACTTCAGAGACTGGCCCAGGAGCTCTGGCCCCGGCGGCGTCAGGCTGCCCATGGGACCCCTCACCGCCGGGCTGATTGTACCGAGCACCGGCCAGGCAGCTACACACAGTACCCATTCCTTCCTCCTGGAGCCCTCCCTGCCGTCGAAGCTTGCTTGGCCTGCCGTGGAAGCCCAGAGCCGGGCTCCTTCCTGCCTGTGGGTCGCTGGCGGGCGGGCTGTCAGTCTCCCCGTCCCTCTGTGACGTGTCTTGGGGCGGATATACGTATGTAGGTATGTGTGTGCACACGTGCGCACGCCTGGATCACTATATGCCACTCTGCATGCACTAGTTGTCCCAGCCTGCCCGGGAAGGGGCTCCGTGCCCCCAGCACACAGGCCGTCATTTTTTCCGGGCCAGGAAGGCCACACCAAGGACTAGGGCCATGGCTGCCACAGCCACACCCCCAGCCACCAGCAGGGGGGCCAAGTTCTCGAAGGGGCAGGGACCTCGGCCCCCCGGCCCCCCGCTCCCAGCCTCGTCCTCCTCGGTGCTGTCTCCAGGGCCCTTGGGCTCCGGGGCTGCATCGGGGGTGCTGGGGGCTGCGGGGGCCGGCTTCAGGTTGCTGTGATTGTTGAGGAGGGCAGGGTCTGCCTTGGCTGGGGTCTTCTTGGCGGGCGCCGGGGTGGGGGCCGCTGGCTGCTCCTGCTTCTCCACAGGGGCCTCCTTTTTCCCGGGCTTGGCAGACGCGGCCCCAGGGGCTTTCCCATCAGCAGCCGGGGGGCCTTTGGGCTCAGCAGGGGCCTGGGGTGCCTTGGTGTCAGGCTTGGGGCTGCCGGCCGACTTCCCTCTGGACTCCATGGTGGGCAGAAGTGGCGTGCTGGGAGAGGCGCTCTGGCAGGCAGGAGGCAGGTGGCTGGACCTCAGAGACTCAGGACAGCTCACCCCTATGCATTCTTTGGGGTCTGGAAGGGGAGAGAGGGGAGGCTGAGTGATGGGACCAGGCCCCTCCTGCCTGGCCCCAACCCCCTTGTTTCCATGGAGACCTAGCCTAGATCTCCCGACCCTCCTTGAGCTCAGAAGCCTGGCTGTGGGCCTCAGAGACGTCTCCTCAGGGGCTTGGCCTCCGTCTGTCAGTCCATCCCTACAGCTCCCCGAGAGGCCCCTCCATGCAGGCCGGTGCCAGATGAGACCAGTCAGGGGCCTCAGCTTCCTCATCTGTGGGGTGTATCTATATCTACGCGTGTGTGCACATGTATATACCCACGGGCAGGGAGGCCCCTGATGGAGAAGGCAGACCCCATCCGGCCCTGAGAAGTACGGGGGCCACAGCCAAGGGGAGGCAGGTCCTAGCTATGGGGTGCAGGCAGAGCCCACCTAGCAAGGACCCTTCTCAGGACAGTGCTCTCATTTCTCAGAAGCTGTGACCTGGCCAGAGTCCAGGTGAGGGAGGGCAGGGCAGGAGCAGACACCCAGGGCCTGGGTTCTCAGCCAGCCATCCGGTAGGACTGGCTGCTGGTACCCTGAGGAGCTGAGGCCATTTCCCCAGAGGCTGGAATCCTAGGCTGGAGGATAGGTGGCGCCTGGGCCTCCAGCCGGATGTCTGACCCCCCAACTGTGGGCGTTGCTCCCCCAAACCAGCCTCGCCTGCCTCCCAGCTCCAGGTGTTGAGGCCGAACTTGCCTCTGGGGTTAAAGGGGCCCCTGGTGCCAGCCTGGGGTGGGCACCCACAACGTCATCCTCAACAGCCCCCAGTCTGCGGGTCAGGGCAGAGGTGGGGGCTCTGGACTAGAGGAACAGCCTCACCCAGGTTCTCACTGTCCCAGAGGGGGTGGGAAGGGAGGCCAACACCCTGGACCGGGGTAGGCCTCTCCCCGAAGACCTGGACGCCACCTGGCGCTTCTCGGGGGACGACAAGAAAGTCCCCACCTGCAGGGAAAGGGAGGCAGGGTGGGGCTGCAACACAGGTCCCCCACCTCAGGCCAGGCGTGCTGACCACACTGAAGGTCACCCGAAGGTCACAGTGTGATGGGGGTGTCCCCACTGCTGCCCTGCCCCTCCAGAAGCCCCAGCTGCCCCGTCACCCGCACAGGCCCGCAGAAGGGCCCAGGTGAGGAGTCATCTTCGCAAAGGGCAGGTGGTCTGCTCCCCCCTCTGCCCCCCAGACCCTCGAATTATTTTTGGCTCACACTGACGTCACTCACATGCCCCCACCCCGGCTCCCCAGTCGCTCAGCCCGGGAGAGCAAGGGGCCTAGTTCATGCAACCCCAGTGACCTTCAAGGCAGGGGCACCGCCACGTCGCCCCTACCCTACCGGGCACTGCGAGAACCCCCCACCCCGGCTCCGGCCCCAGCCGGCCACGGACCCCTGGGCCTTCCATCGTCCTCCCTCCGGCTCCCACCTCGCGCTGCGGTGCTCTCCCCGCTGACAGCGAGCGGGCGGCGGCTGCGGACGCCAGAGGAGAACTTGGGAGTTTCCCACAATGCACTGCTGCTGGCCGCAGGAGGGAGGACCAGCGCGGGAGGGGCGGAGGGGCGGCAGGCTGCAAATGGGGGCTCGGATCAGCCGGCTCCGCCCGCTCGGCAAAGGCAAGGCAGCGCCCAGACTGGCTGGAGACTCTGCATCCTCAAACCCAGCTTTTTTTTTTTTTTTTTTTAATTGTGGTAAGTATATAGGTAACAGAACATTTGCTACTTGTACAGTCTTCACCTGTACGGTGACATTCACCATGTCATTCAACCAGCACCCAGACCCCTTCCCAAACCCAGCTTTTGATCCCAAGGGAAGTTTCTGGGTCGGGTAGGAGGCTGAGGTGGCTCAGCCTACCCCCTACCCCGTCCCTGCGGCAGGACCCCCTGCAGGCCAGAACCGCCTCTCGGCCAAACTATGGGGCCAGGGGGCTGGGCCTGGGTCTGGGAGGCGGAGGGACCAGTTATGGGAAGAAGGGCTGCCCTCCCCGCCCTCATCCCCAGAGTGCCAGAAAAGAAACATCTGTTTAGAATATTTATTCATTCTCTTACATGACAAGACACAAAAAGTTACTTCTTAAAACTCTTCAAAAGAAAAAAAAAAATAGAATTCTGTAAGCAGCAGTAGCAGCTTCCAAGGTACAGGTGATGGGAGAGGTGGCTCCCAGGGACAACCGCAAACTGGGGGGCCCAGGCCTGAGCCCCAGGTAGTGTCACTGGGGAGGGACCCGCAAGGGGCCCTGGGGGTGGGGGGGAACACAGCACCACCACACAGGATCAGTCAGCAACATGAGCACTTGCTGGGGCAGGCCAGGGGTCTGCCTCAGTTCACAACACGATGGGTGGAGGGGGCTTGGGGCGGAGCTTTCTGGAGTGTGGTCAGGGGCCTGTAGAGAGGCCCAGAGAGTAGGGTTGGCCCTGGGAGGGCTGAGGGGGCAGCTCCTGGCCCCCCGACCCTGCAATTACAGCCGGAGCCCCAGGCTCCACACTGGTCCTCAGGTCTGCCCTTTCTCCCCGTGAAAGGGCCAGACTTGGGGTGGGGGGGTCTCAGAGGAGGGGCCTCTCCAAGGTGCAACTAAAGGGGCAGGGCTGGAGGAATAAATCCCTGGACGGTCAGCAGAGAGCTTGGGACACGCACACACCCGCTGCCTGCCACCTTGGGACACACACGCGCACACACGCACACGCACGCACACACACACACACCCGCTGCCTGCCACACACACACACACACACACACACACACACACACACACACACGGTGCCCGCCCCCCTGAGGGGGGGGCCAGGTTAGCTGAGGGCTGGGTGGCGTGACCTGATCCCATAGCGCACACACACACGTGTGCACATGTACACACATATACCTCACCCGCTCAGGGCCCTTGGCTGGGGGTGGGGGCAGATGGACCCACTATGAGGATGCTGGGTCCCACAGTGGATGGGAAGGGAGGCCTGCCCTGGGAATGAGAATTCAGTGTGACCCTCCCCCTGGATTTCTGGCTCAACACTGGAAACAGGAGACCCCAAGCCTCCCGCAAGGCCAGGAGGGGGTGGAGTCCTGGCTGAGGCAAGAGGGACAGCAGGGAAAGGGCAGGTGATGGACGGAGGGGTGGACAGTGCCACTCGGGCTTTGTAGGTTCAATAAATAGGTTTGTGCAGGGCCTCTCGTGGACCAGGGGCCAAGCCTGGGAACCCGAGCCAGGTGGGCTAGGGGTAGGATCCAGTTGCCCAGGGTCAGGCCTGGGGCTCCCAGCCCAGAGACCAGCTCTGCCCTGGGGGGTGCTCAGGCCAGGCTGGGCGGGGTCGGCTCCAGGAATGTACAGATTTCTGCATTTTCTACATAAATAAGACATTGATCCCATGGTGGTGCAGGCAGGACCCCGAGGGAGCCCTGCAGGTGCACCATCCGCATGGACCCTGTGCCCTCCTCAGCCCCCTCCCGGCAATGCGGGGGGAGGCCTTCCCTCGCTCAGTCCTAGGGCAGCGCAGCACTCAGGGCTGGGGGCCCTGAAGCAGCCCCAGCAGGGACTCAGCGATGCCGAGGAAATACACCACCTGGGCAATGCCGAACAGCGGGGCAATGACCAGGGCGCGGCAGTATGCGCCCTTCAGGAAGGCTGAGGGGCCCTCGTGCCGCAGGATCTTCCTGTGGGGGAAAGGTCAGGTCAGGGGGGCAGCCCTGCATCCCCCATACCCTCCCCACCCCACCCTGACCCCAGCGGACCTCACCCACCTGGCACAGTCCAGGAACCCTGAATAGGTATCCTCATTGACCCCACGCTGAAGGGACTGGAGGCGTGTCTTCACCACTGCAGGGAGTGCAGGGTCAGTGTGGGAGCCCCCCGCCAACCCTGGAACCACCCCTTCAGCCCCCATTCCGCCGGGAGCCCAGACCCAAACACTGACCGTCACAGGGGTTGACGGCCACAGCAGCTGCACTCCCGGCCGCACACCCAGCTAGGAAGGAGACGTAGAAGGGAGACTTCTCGCCAGAGGCCGGCTGGCCCAGCTGGTTCAGGTTGGCGAAGAGCGGGAAGTAGACAATGGAGAAGGGAACATCCCTGCAGGAGGTGGGCAGCGGTGATGACTGGGGGCACCATAGGCAGCAGGGACTGTCCCTCTCTGCCCACCCACCCCCGGCCTCCCTACCTGAGCAGCGTGGCCCCCAGTCCCTTGTAGAGACCAGCGATGCCTCGACTCCGCAGCAGGTCCCGGGTCAGCTGGGTGGCCGTGGGCCGGGGGACGGCCGGAGCCTCTGCCATGGGCTGGGCCCCGCCCTGGGCCGGAAGCTGGGCCTGAGCATCCAGGAGCTTCTTCTGGGCGGCTGGGGAGGAAGGGGACAGGCTTGCTGGCTCTTCTTGGGGGCAAGGGGGCAGGGAGGTCCAGCCCGCCGCCCCCACCCCAGTTTCCACCCCATCCCCACCTATGCGGCCAGCGTCCTGCAGCTGGATCTTCAGCATCTCCATGGGGGTCGTGACGATCACCTGGCAGGTGCCCGCCCCACAGCCAGCCAGCATCTCCTTCAGCAGCGTTAGCTTCTGCCTACAGCAGGGTGGGGGGCGCTGTGAGGACAGCGGGGAGACCCCTGCCACCCAGGATGAGTCAGGCACTGCCTGCCACCTGGGAGGCTGCTGCTGTATCTGGACACAAAGGGGGTGGGAGCAGTGGAGGTGACACATCCCCAACCTCTGACACACCCTCCAGGCCCGGCCACAGAGCCACTGAGACAGATGGCCCCACAGGCAGGACCTGGCAAGGGCCAGCAGGCCATCCTTGCAGAGAGACACAGGGGGCTGGGGTTTCAAATGCCCCAAAAAGGGCACTCTGTCCAGGGGCATCCCTTTGGTGACAAGGAAAAGCTGGCCTGTGCCCCTAAGTTCTAGCCTGCATGGAGGTGGCAGGTGGTGACTGAGCACGGCTGATTCTCCCATGCAGGGGCTGAGGGACAAGGAGGAGGATACCCCACAGGTCAAGGAAGCCTGACGGAAAGGCTGCACACGGCAGAGCCCCTGGAGCCCTGTAGTGGGCTCTGGCTTGCTGGCTGACTCTGTCCTTCCACTCACAGCTGTGTGGGCTGAAGGCCCACTCGGGTGTCTGCCACATGACCTCACCCCCCGCAGCCCGGCCCCTCACCCGTCCTTGGAGAGCTGATAACGGAAGAAGTCGTTGGCTGCCAGCTTGATGGCCTTCTCTGGGGTGACGAGCGTCAGGTTCACGGCAGCGCCTGTGGACACACGAGGTCACGCAGGGCCCAGGGGATGTGGGGCCAGGGGACAGCAGGTCGGAGGGGCACCCTGGCCTGGGTGGGAGGCTCTGGGCCAGCACCTGCCTCTTGCCTGGCCAAGCCTGGTCCCACTGCTCCTTGGCACCTCCTCCTGCCCTCTCACCCATATTTGGGCCTGGCGTGTTCCACGCAGGGGCGGGCACCAGGACAGGGATGGGGCAGCACTGCCCTCCTCCGGTATTCCGCTCACCCTCCTCTGGATGGCCCTCCCATTCCAGCCTCTAGCTGTCTCTGATTCCAGCCGGTGCTAACGGGGCCGTGGGGACCAGACCCCCAGAGCCTATGGGGGCCTCTCAGGGGACACCAGGACCACGCACAGGGCATACAGGTCAGAGCCCCTCTAGGGGAGGCAGAGGAGCCCCCTCAGTGCCGAGGAATCAGGGCAGCTGGCGTGGGGCAAATCCGGGATTGCCTCCTAAGCTGCTTTGCAGTAACGCCCACCAGCCCCTGGCCAGGCTCCAGGGGGAGGAGGCTGCAGCCGCCTCAGTGGGGCAGCGCCATCTGCACAGCCTCCTGCCACGCCAGGTGCTGACCAGTGCTACCAGGTGGCGGGGAGTGAGAACTGTCCCTAACCAGAGACCCCCCTCTTCTGCCTTCCAAGGTTCAACTCGCTTCCCAGCAGCCAGGCTGGGCTGATGGCCGTCCCCAGGGGCAGCCGGCCCTCAAGAAACATGCCCGCCGCACCCCGCCTGAGCCTCACCGCGGTACATGCCGAAGTAGCCCTCCGAGCGGATGGTCTTGATGAGGCAGTCGGACCTGCAGGCGAGGGGAGGTGGATGAGCCTGAGCGGCCGCTGGAGACCAACTCCTTCCCTGCCCAGCTCAGGGCCCGCCTGGGCTGACAGGAAGGGGCGCCATCCCGAACTAAGCAATGACCGCCCCCCCAGGCCTGCCCTGCCCTCAGTTTCCCCTTTTGTCAAACAGAGAAGGAGGAGTGTGGGGGGTGCTGGGAGCCTTGTCCTGCCCCATCTCCCCAGCACCGCTCCACGTGCGTACCCCCTGCTGCTACCCGGCCTCCCCCGACCCCCCACTCACATGCTCGTGTACATGCGCTGGCCATTCTGCTGGTTCTGCAGCCTCGTCTTGGCCAGGTCGATGGGGAACACGCAGGTGACCCCGATCAGCCCAGCGATGCCACCATTGATAAGCTTGGCTGGCAGACTAGTGGAAAGGCAGGTAGGAGTCAGAGGTCAGTAGGGCAGGGCTGGGAGGAGGGGGCGAGGCCAAGAGGGAAGCCTGGGCAGAGTTCTGACCTGATCTGCTTATCAGCCATTTAAGTGGAGCGTCCAGGAGGGCGGAATCAGAGGAGGAGGAGGCGGGAGGAGGCGGAGGCAGAGGCAGCGGCAGCGGAGGAGGCGGGATGCGGGGGAGGGGCTGTCCGCCTGGTCTAGGGGGATTTCAAGATGTCAGCCACACCTCAGTCCTGGAGGGACAGCAGCGGGGTCAGCAGGGTGGGCAGACAACTGCGGCAGAGGCTGTGGGAATAAATCCTCCTGCCCTCCAGGCTGGAGCCATGACCAGTCCTGGGTGCACCCTGGGGGGGCACCCCGTTTCACCTCAAGCCCCCCCACTGGCATCACCCCTACCGGCAGGGGTCACCCCCATGGCATCACACCTCTCTTGTGCACACGGGCGGGCGTGCTCCAGCTTTTAAAGGGCCAGACGCGTGGGGGGCAGCGGCAGCTGTCAGTTGCCGGCTGCGGTCACCACCCCCACATCCCTGAGGAGAGGGGCTGGTACCTGCACTCTTCAGGGCTGGGGCTGGGGTCTCCTAACTGGCCCCCTCCCAGTGCCCCAGAGGGACACAGCCACATCAGGGCACAGACTGCACTCCTGCGACAGAACCCCTTCTGGGTCCCAGATGTCCCTCCCATGAAGAAGCACCCCATACCTATGGACATTTAACCCAGCCCGACTGTCCTCACCTCTGCCCTCCCAGGAGTCTCACCCCCAGACAGACAGAGAACAGTGACCGGGGACCTCTGGAAGCCTTAGGAGTGTGTGGGCAGCTATGGGGGGCTGGCTGACCTTCTGAGACCCCTGTGGTTGGGACCCCCATGCAATCTGAGGGTGGGGAAGAAGGGCCCTCCCAGGGAGGCAGGGCTCAGAGCCAGACCCAGCCCTGGTGCCCCCCACAGGGCGCTGCAGCCCTGGGCTGTGAGTGCCCCCAGAGTCCTCACCCCCGGGCCCCCTCCCCTGCCCATCTAGACCAGGCAGGCCAGATGTCACCCGCCGCGCTGCCACCCAGGGTCACAAGGCCTCTCCGAGAGACTCATGTCTTTCACCCCAGCTTCCTCGCCTCCGCAGCCGCCCCCGCCCCCGCCCCCGCCCCCGCCCGCCAGTCCTCCACGTCCCTGCTGCCCGCGGCCAGCTCACCGCAGCCGGCTGGGGCTCTGCTCCTCTGCGGCTCACACTCCAGCCTGCCGGCTCTAGCAGGACATAAGGGAGGGAGGCACAGGGCTGCTGTGATTGGCCGTGGGGCGGGGCAAGGTGGGCCTTGGGGGTGACTTTCTCTTTCACTTTGGGCGCCGGCGCTCCAGGAGGGAGTAACAGCATCTGGCGACAGGGTACAGCGTCAGGGGCCCCTCCGCCCACGGGGTCTGACTCAGGCTGACCCAGCCAGCCAGTCCATCGCCCCCAGGGACCCCAGGCCCTGGCTCCCAGGCTCCAGCTACCCTGTGGGCCCTGTCCTCAGTCCCAAAGCCCTTTCCTACTCTGGGGCTGTCCAGACCCCTGGGACCCCAAGGATGAGGCACTCCATGTCCACTACCCTGTGTTTGTGGGACCTGTGTGTGTGTGGGGGGGGGCGCATTTCAGGAAACCCCCGTTCCTTGGGGTTCCAGCCCCAGGCCCCACCCACCCCATGGGGCACGTGTGTGGAAGCAGAAGAGGTCTATGCTCTCAGGCCATCAGCCACTGCCCACAGGCCCTGACCATCTGGCGGTCCAAGGGCACGGGCACATGGACACTCCCAGAGCCCTCTGCCCTTCGAGCTGACTTGGCCTCACACACCCAGGGGCCCCAGTTCGTGACATGTCTCTACCTGCCCCACCAGCTGAAAGGCCTGACCTCTGAACTCCAGCCTGATTCTCCCACATCAGCCCACACGGGCCACAGCCAGGCCTCCCTGGAAGGGAGCCCACAGGGCAGAGCCTGCATCCTCCCCCGCCCCTCCCTGAGGTCCACCCCTGCCCTCCGGCACTGAGCGGGCACTGCCTTCCTGAGCACCCACTCTCCTCCCTGGTGACTCCACATTGTTCTGGGGTGAGGGAGGACACTGGATGATGGAGGCTCCAGGAGTCAGGCAGAACCCCTAGAGTGGGGAGAGGCGCTGTGGCCTGGACGAGCACTGTGGGCCTGGAGTCCCGAGGCGGGAGAAGACATTCTCAACACCATGCCTCCACACTGGGGGCGGCGCCTGGGGGGGGGGCAGTCACTGAGGGGCTTCTGCCTGGGAGAGTGCTGGCCAGGGGGGCCTCTGAACCCCCTTTCTGTCCTCCCTCCCTGTTTCCCATCCCTGCTTCTGAGACAGCTACCAGGACCCGCCCCCTGCGCCCAGATGTTGCCATAGAAACCCGCAGCCCCAGCCAGGCTGAGGCCCGGGGCTAAGTCAGGCCTCACAGTCCCTAGGTAAACTGAGGCCCAAGGCAGGCTGGGGAGAGAGCCGGAGAGTCCACGGACAGACCACTCAGATTACGAGGCTGCTTCTTCCGGTCGCAGCGGGAGAATATCCCACAAATGGCCAGAGCCCCTCACCCCCAAGGAAGGCAATGGAGGTGAGGCTCAGAGCGTGGGACTGGGCGCCAGCTCGCCATTCAATCTCCCTAGTCCCTTCCCCCTGGGAGGCACTTTCTGTCCTGCCGGCTGGAGGGGGCCGGAAAGGGTCTCCCGCTGCGCGGTGCCCGGCAATCGGACAAAGCAGGAGCCGGGTGGGGGCCGCTGGCCCCACTCCGAGGCGGCTTAGGCCCCCTGTCCGCTGGAGGAGGGCCTGGATGGAGCCCCGGCCGGCCTCGCTCCCCGGCGCCAGGCGATGGCGACTCCAGCCACGCACGTGTCCACGAACGTCCGGCGAGGTCCCACGTGTGCGCCCCCACGGCCCGTCCTTGGCTCCTTGGGAGACCCAGCCCCCCTCCGCAGGGACACGTGTACGCAGGGAACGCGCCCAGCGCCGCCGGAGGCGAGCACGGCCTTCCACGCCCGCAGCGGCCGCAGGTCAGAGCATCGGCCGCCCTGCGGGCCCCGCTAGAGCCGCCTTGTTGGGGAAGCTGTCACTTCCTCGGCTGGCGCCGCTCGCTCCGCGCCCCCGCTGCCTGGTTGCGCTCTGGCGGCGCAACGCGGAAGGGAGCAGCCGAGCGGTACTCACCGCGCTCTCGCCGCCGCCGCGCTTGCCTCCCCGCGGTCCCGCGCGCCCGGCCTGCACATAGGCGGGGAGGCGGGCCGCTCCACGTTGCGCTCCGCCCCCGGCCCGCGGGCTCTGGCTCCCCCTTCCGGCCGCCGCGGCCACTGCGCCCGGCGCGCACAGCCCCGCGCCCACCGGCTCCGCACTCCAGGGCCAGGCACCCGGCCTTGAATCCGCGGGCCGTCGAACCCCGGAAAGGGACGCCGGAGGGCGGGGGCTCCGCGCCGCAGAGGCCGGGCCGCGTGTCCCTGGGGTCCTTCCTTGGCCTCACGCCCCCGGGATTACCCCACTGGGCATGCAGGGCAGGCGGTCTGGAGCGCTGAGGCGAGCGTCCTGGGGAAGGAGCCGGGTCCTAGTACGGAAGGCGCTTGGGAGGTGCTTAGCGCAAGGCACACAGGTGACTTTGTATCCATCCCAGGGGAGCAGTTACACTGTAACCGGGGCTCCTCCCGCTCCCGGGAAGCTTGGTACAACAGGAGGCCTGGCTGGAGGGGCTGAATTGAGGGGACAGGAGCAAGGGCTGTGGGAAGTATGCCCACACAAGGACCCCTCCCAGCTGCCATCATCCCAGCCACCCCTTGCCAGCCAACCACCTTCATCCCAACACATAAATAGAGCTCTGAGACAGAAGAACAGTTGGTTTTATTGTGGAAAGAGGAACCACTAGAGGTAGGGAGGCACAAGGTCCGGGCCAGGCCAGGGCCAGGCTGAGTCTGTGGGGCCTAGGCCTGGGCGGGCTCTGGGGACTCTGATGCCAAAGGGCTGGGTGGCGCGGGGTCCCCAGGGGCCAGGCCTGTGCGGAGGATGCCAGCCTGGTACTTTTGGCGGCCAAGCTCCAAGACTGCCTGTACCTCCTCAGCCAAGTCCTTCCGGTCACTCTGCTCCAGGGCCTGTACCAGGAGCTGCGTTGCGCCCGGCCGCCCGGCCTGCCTCTCAGCCCAGGAGAAGAGCATATGGCGGATTTGCCCGTCCAGGTCATCCCTGGGAGGGGGGAGTGGTGACTGAGGGGCCCTGCCCAGAACATCCACCACATTCAGGATCCCTCTAGCCCTCATTGGGTGGGTCCCCTGCTCCCAGGGCCAGATGTGGCCAGACCCTCGGGTTCCAGCTCCCACTTCCCCAGGACAAAACCTTGGCCAGGCTCAGTTCAGCCCACCAGCAGCCAGGACCAAGCCGGGCAGGCCGAGGCTCACCGGAACTCAAGCCGGATGCGCTGCAGCTCGCGGTAGGGCAGGCCCAGGTGCAGGGCCACAGCTGGCCAGTCCAGGCCCAGGCGCCCAGCCACGCTCAGCAAGTTGCTCTGGGTCAGGAAGCCGCTCTCGGCATCACCCAGGTTCAGAGGCGCCAGGGAGAGGCCAGTGCCAGGCCGCTGCCCCGTCCCCTCAGACCCCCGCAGTCTCTGGGGAAGAGAGGGTGCAGGTGAACCCTGGCTTCTGCCCCATGGCCCCCTGACCCCCCACCTCTGCCCCTCCCAAGCCCTCACTGGCAGCTTGATGGGCAGAGTAGCCATCCACAGGGCATCCGAGCCCTTCTTCTGCCGGGCGGCCTCGGCCTCCTCAGGCACCTCTGTGGGCACCGTGCCCCGGTAGAAGGACACCTGGGGGTGGGACCAGGCAGGTTCAGTGCTCTGGGCTCTGCCTCAGGTACCCTGGGGGTCCTCCCCCATCACCCACCTGGCCACGCACGGCCTGAGCCTGCCGGTCCAGGGCAGTAGTCACGTACACCTCCTTCACGTTCTTTAGGTGAGAATAGAAGACAAAGCAGATCCTACCCTCCACGCAGTCTGGACGATCTGGGAACCGGGTAGGGCTCAGCAGGGGCCTGGAGAATCTGGGGTGATGAAGGCGGGAGGACCCCAGGCTTCCCCAGCGGCAGGGAGCATACCAGCATCCACGTCAATGCCTCGCTCAAAGGCGGCGAAGAACTTCTCACCCTCAAACAGCTCCACGGTGTCTGAGGGCTCGGGGCCGCGGTACCTCTCCAGCAGCCGCTTCAGAGTGGCATCCACCTGCGGGGCACGTGACTGAGCCCGCCGCCCCCAGCCCACCAGCCCTCCCGCCCCAGGCCTCCGTCCACACGTCCCCCACCTTGTTGCGGGGCAGGCACTGCAGCAGGACCTGCTCGGGGTCCCGGCGTCTCTGCAGCGCAATGAGGTTCACTCGGTGTAAGCGCAGCCGTGCCCAGGCCTTGCGCGCCAGGCCCCCCACACAGTTCTTGGTGGTGTACCAGAGCCAGTACCTGGGAGGGGCAAGGGTGAAGGGGACCGCAGAGACCCTGGGGGCGCTGAGGAGGCGGGGAGGGGGGACCGTGGAGACCCTGGGGGTGCTGAGGTGAGGAGGGCACTGACCAGGAGAAGTGTGTGACCTGGAAGCGGGCATAGAGGTGTGTGAGCTCCAGGGCCACCTGAGCTGTGATGTCATCCCAGGTGGCCGCAGGAGGGGCCTGGTAGAGCAGGTGCAGGCGGGAGCGGTCCAGACTCAGGCCTGGGGACAGGGAGACAGCAGGCCGAGGCCTCCCGGCAGGGCTACCCCTCCCGCACTGCCCTTGCCCCACCCACGCCTGCCGCAGGCTTGCCTCTCACCTGTGACTCCGGGGGGCAGCGGTAGCTGCACAGTGACGGGCCGGAGGAAGCTGGGGGGGCCGCTCTGCCAGAGGCACAGCAGGGGGCTCACCGCCGCCTCGGGCTCCCCCAGCAGCGCTCGCAGCTCGCGGCCGGCCATGCGCACCACCTGGGGGACAGGCCACTTGAGTGCCCGCTGAGTGGCTGAGGCCCTGCCCTCCACCTTTGCACAGCCCCGCCCGCACCTGCATTCGGACCCGGCGAGGCTCCTCGGTGGCCCCCTGAGGGAACGTGACCCTGACCCCGGGATGTCCAGAGGAGCGGAGCAGCGTGCCCTCCGGCGGCACCAGGCAGCTGTCAGACATGGGGCGGGAGACCACGAGGAACCAGGAAAAGTGGGGCACCTGGCAGCGAGCCCAGAACCGCTGGGCGGAAGCGGGGGAGATGGGGTCAGGGCGGAGCTGCCAGGGCGGGGGTCCTGAGGTCAGAGGGGAGACAGGGCCAGGGTAGAGATGGGGCAGGGATCTGGGGTCAGAGGGGAGATGGGGTCAGGGCGGAGCTGCCAGGGCGGGGGTCCTGAGGTCAGAGGGGAGGCAGGGCCAGGGTAGAGATGGGGCAGGGATCTGGGGTCAGAGGGGAGATGGGGTCAGGGCGGAGCCTCTGGGGCCGGGGTCCTGAGGTCAGAGGGGAGACAGGGTCAGGGTAGAGATGGGGCTGGGGTCCTGGGTTCAGAGGTGAGACAGGGTAAGGGTACAGCCACCGGGGCAAGGGTCCCGGGGTCAGAGGGGGATACAGTCAGGGTGGACCCCTCTCCCCAGTGTCTCACCTTGGGAGCCTCCTCCTCCAGATGGGTCTCCAGGTCAGTCCAGCTCTCTTCACTCAGGGTCCTGACCACCACCTCACGGCAACGCTGGGCCCTCGGGGGCACGAAGAGCAGCCACAGGCCCACATCCTGCCAGGTGGGGCGGTGAGCAGGGACCAGGCTGGGGAGCCCCTCAGCTGCCCGCCCGGCCCGGCCTTGCCTGCTGGAAGACCATCCCATGAGGCTGCAGCTCCAGGACGTGGCTGAGAAGCGTGTCGTGAGGCCCCAAGGGCACCAGGCGAGGCTCCGGCAGCCACAGTCGGTAGCGGATGGTGATGGGGGTGGCAGCGGCCCCTGCAGGGAAGTGCAGGCGGATGCCGCAGGCCAGGGTCACAGAGCAGCCTTGGGGGGTTACCAGGAAGCTGGATGCAGAAAAGGCTGGCATCAGGTCAGACCAGAAAAGGACCCCAGGGGGAGAGGCCAAGGCAGGGCAAGGTGTCCAGTGTGGCCAGCCCCCGCCCTGCCCACACCTGTCCAAGTCCGTGGTCAGAAACAACCTGGGCATTTCCGGAACTACAGGTGTCCCTGCAGAAGGGAGCAGAGAAGCAGTTAGGACAGTGATGGGACCTATGTCCTGCCCATGGCCAGCCCCTCCAACACCAAACACACCTGGGGGGCTCAGGGGGCCTGGCAGGGCCTCGCCCAGGGGGTTCCCCTGTAGCCGCACGAAGGGGGTGTCCAGGAACTCGGGGGGCACATCCCGTAGCTGGTTGCCCCTCAGGTCGAGCCGGGCGAGCAGTGGGAGGTGGACAAGGCCAGCGGGCACCGAGGTCAGGAGGTTGCTGTATAGGAAAAGGAGCCGCAAGGACAGCAGCCCCTCTGGCAGGCAGCACTGGCTTAGAGCCAGCGGGGGACTCGGTTACCCTGCCCTGGAGTGGTCGGGTTTCGACGGGACACTTATCCCAGGGTCCTGAGGACCTATTTCAGTCTTTAGTCCCATGGCTGGGACTCTAGACCTTGGGCAGGGGCACACAGGAGTCTCGAAGGCCAGGGGCAGAGAGGGCACTCAGGGGAGCAGCTCCCGGGGCAGCAAAGGCTCAAAGATGGTACTGCTGCATGTTCAGGGGCCCCTGCAGAGAAGGAGGAGCCGGGAGCCAGGAGAGAGGCCTTGGCAGTGGCTGAGGGTGCTCCCTAGCAGGCTCAGTGAGCCAGGGGGGCGTGGGCGCTACTCACCGAGGGAGGCTGGGAGGCTCTGCAGCCGGTTGGAGGCCAGGTTGAGCTCAGCAAGGCTGCTCAGGTCTCCAATCTCAGGAGGCAGAGTCTCCAAAAGGTTCTCAGACAGATCAAGGCGCCTCAGGGTGGACAGGGCCCCCAGCGCTGTGGGCAGTGTTTGCAGGCGGTTGTGGGTCACAGCAAGGAAGGTGAGGGCGGGGAGGGCCCCCAGGGCCTCAGGCAGCTCCGTGAGGCAGTTGTGAGAGAGCAGGAGGGCATCCAGGCCACGGAGCTGGGGGATGCAGGCAGGTAGCGTCTCCAGGCTGTTGAAGCTCAGGTCCAGGTGGGCCAGGCGAGCCAGGCCGCTCAGGCCGGCGGGCAGCAAAGTGAGACAGCCCCGGAGACAGGCACCCAGTGCATCCCGGCGTTGCCCACCTGTGGGGTCAGAGGAGCTGGATGTGGCCCTCAGATCTGGGGTTCCAGCTCGGCCCTGCCAGCCAGAGAAGGCAGCCATGCTGGAGGCCACACGGGAACACAGGGACAGAGATGAACACACTGAACAGAGCCCAACACATAGGCGGGGCCAGGACAGAGACCTGGCTCAGCTCTGCGGAGAGCTGTCACCTGTGAACCCTCAGGAAAAAGGCCCACACTGGGGACTGCTGGGAGACCCCACTGGGCAGCCTTGTCTTGGGGGGTGCTGGGTAAGGCTGGGCCCAGGACGGTGATGGGGCTGAGAACAGTAACCAGACCAGGAGTGCCAGCAGTTCTCACTTGGGGACCAGGGAGGGAATACCTGGGGCTGGGGCAGAAGGCAGGGCAGGAGCTGCGGATGGGGCTGGAGTAGGGTGGGACTGGGTGGGACTGACCTTTGAGGACGAGGGAGCGGAGGCAAGGCAGTCTGCCCGGCACCTGGGCCAGGGTGGCCCCCAGCAGCCCAGGGTCCTCGTGGGTGCTCAACCGAAGGAACTCCACCTGCAGCAGCTGAGGGGACCGCTGGGCACACAGATGCAGCAGCCGGTGGCAGCCCCCAGGGTACAGGTCCAGGTTCAGGCGGTTCCCGGCCAGGAGAGGGGGCGCCCTGGGCCCTGTGTCCACAGCCTCCTCTGCAGCATCTCTTGTAGCATCTTCTGCAGCAGCTGCAGCCGCTGCCTCGGGCTCCAGCTCCGTCACCACTGCAGCCATCGCCCACAGACTGCCCTCGGGGGCCGGACATGTCCCAGCTCGCCAGGCAGGCCTGCTCAGGCAGGGCCCAGAGGCTGCAGAGGCAGGGGGAGGAGTGGGCGCTGGTGAGGGCTGAGCCCATCCTCCCCGCTGGGACTTTGGGGCAAGCTTGAGCCAAACCACCTGGTCTCAGAACCCAGGGCTGGGCTGGCTAGAGGAGGGGGAGGCCCTCGGTCACTGCACAGCGCTGGGGCATGGGTCATCTCTGGAAATGGGGCTGGGTGGGGGCCCAGGGCTGGGAGGGGACCAGAAGCTGAGGCTCCTGGGAGCAGCTGAGCCTGGGGAGTTCTCCTGGGGGAGGTGGGGAACCATGGGCCTCCTGGAGCTGTCAGGTCATGCTGGCTGACCTGCTCCTGGGATTCCAGTGCTCAGCCTGGGTGGGGATGGAACGGCTACTCCCCGTGTACCGGAAAAGTGAAAGTTAAGGGAGAGAACTTAGGGTCTGAGCCACTGGGCAGCTTCTGGGACCTGGGGCGGGGCCCCATCTGGTGACCCCTAGAGGTTTTACCATTTCCAGGGCAAACCTCGGTGTGCTGAGGAGGGCGGTGCCCGGCGTAGTACGACTGGGACCACCGGGTAGGAGGCCAGTGGAAGCGCGCTGCCCCCCCACCCCAACCTGAGCCGTCCAGACCGCAAGGATCCCGGGCCACCGCTGCGGTCTGGGCCTGGAAAGTCTCGGGGCCCCCCGCCCTGTCCGCGGCAAACTTTCCCGCCCGTGGCCCGTGCGTACCTACGCTCCAGGCCAGGGACACACCCGGCGCCCGAAGAGTCCTAGCTAGGAGCCGGGTTCGCGCCCGCTCGTTTCCGGGCGGCGGGCTCTCCGCGCCCCGCCCCCTTTCAGGCCCCGCCTCACGGGGAGGTCCCCCTGTGCCTCCGGGGTCCGCCGAGGCGGAAGGTTCCCAGCTCTGGAGACGCGGCCGCCAAGCCCATCTGTCCAGCGGCGCGCCCGGCTGCAGTTGGCTTGCCGTGAGTCCGCGCAAATCTGTGCTGTTCAGCCTCGCCTGCCGGGAAGGCCCGCGTTGCGCTCGGTGGAACCCGCCCTCCTCCTATACGTTCCCGCCCGACGTTAAAATGAACTGGTGCAATCCCGGGGCGGGGTGGGGGCTCCCGGGGCCGGTCGCAGCTGCTCCCTTACACCTACCCCCTACCAGAAGCCAGAGCTAAGAGTGTGACCGTCCCCAGCCAGCTCCAACGGTCTCCTCCTCTGGGAAGCCTTCCTGGCCTCGTCTCAGGTCCTTCAGAAACCCACCCGGCTCCATCCACCTGCCTCTATTCTCTCCAGCCCCTGGCCCCATTTTCTTTCCACACAGCTGTCAGACGACTTCTAACATATATACACATATATATATATCGCAGTAAAATGTATGCAACGTACAACTTACCATTCCAACTATTTTAAGTGTACAGTTTAGTGACATTATACTCAGTGTTTTGCAACCATCACTGCTATTTCCAAAATTCATCACCCCAAATAACAATCGAGATTTTTTTAAAAAACCAATCACAAGATGCCACTTCCCTGCTTAAAACACTGCAATGGTTTCCTTTTGTGTTTGCAATAAAGCCCCCATCCCTGCTTTACCCAGTTGTGACCCTGAGCAAGGAAACCTTTCTATGCCCGCCCTGTGCCCTCCTCATCTATGAAATGGGGGCAACCTCATCTAGTGTGCTTGCGAAGCTGGAGTTAACACGCCCTGTATGGGCTGGCCGGTTCCTTTTCATCCTTCAGCTCAAAGTTACCGCCTCAGAGAAGCGCTCGCAGGCTTGTGTTAAGGCTTCTGTCCCTCTGCCTCACTATCCTGTGCATCCCTTCAGAGTCTATCTCAACTTGCGAATGCGTCCTTATTCACTTTGTATGTTCTCGCACTAGGATGGAACTTCTGCGGAGGCAGGGCCAAGCCTGTTGTCCCCACTCAGGACCCCAGTGTGCAAAAGGGTCCCTAAGGCGGAGGAATGAATGAATGACATGTGCTTATGTCCACGGGGATATGGAGGTGAACCGAGCCAGCTGGAGCCGAGCCGAACATTCGGGCATCGCCGCTGCCGGGCTCTGCTGACGGTTCCACAAGGCTTTGCGGGCCTAGAGGGTCCGCGCTCGTCTTCAGGCTCGGCCGCCCTGACCCACAAGCCATAGTACCGCACGGCAGCCCCGGGTAGGGCCGCAGTCAGCAGGCCCAAGGCGGCTCCGGTTCCGCGGTGAAGGCGCGAGTGAACGGCCTGCCCTGCTCACGGGGTTCGGCTGGATGTGTGCGCCATCCAGGCCCCACCGGACATTGGGCCCCCGGTTCCTGCGGCCGAGTAACCACCAGAGAGCCGGAAGCCCATTGGTCTGGTATCTCAGCCTCCACCAGGGGCCACGTGCAGCCTCACGCAAGCCGGCGGTTATACGCGCTTCCGGCGGCGCTCACGCGCTTCCGACAGCAGTGCACCATGGCACTTGCAGTTTGCTGTCTGCGTCGGTTGCTCCCGCAGAGGGATGGTCCCGGGCGTTGCGTCCTAGACGGTCGCACTGCATGTTGGGAGCTGTAGGCGCCGCGTGGCATGCTGGGAACTCTAGGCGCGGAAGGGAGAAGTAGTGGATTTTGGACTCACGTCCTCTTTCGAACTGCCGCCCAAAGGGTTTCGGGGGACATTCGCCCCAGGCTATACGAGAAGGCAGTCCTAACTTCGCCTTTGCTGTGGCGACTGCTTGACTTGGGGGGGCAATAGCGTCTCCTCCGTCCTCATTGGCTGAGCGTCCCTTACGTCACCCGGAGGCGCCCCCGGGGGCTCCGCGCGCGTCCTAGAGGTTTCTGGGTAGCGGTTTAATCCCGCCCTTGCGCCGGCGCTTTCCTTTCCCTCTCTGACGCCGTCGAGGTCGCACGCGTGAGGTCTGTCCGCCGCCGCCAAGTGAGTAGGCCGGCCGGGCTGCTGGGCGGAGACCTCGGCGCAGGGGCCGGTAGGGCGCGGTCGGCGCGCCGGGTCACGAGCAGGCAGGCTCCCCTGGGGCGGGCAGGGGCCTCCGGGCCGAGCCACGCCGGCCTTCCTTCCTTGGCCTCTGGCCCCACGGGTGGGGGGCACGGAAGGCCGCCGGTAACGCCGCCGCGCCCTGTCTCCCTCGCTTCAGGATGCGCTACGTTGCCTCCTACCTGCTGGCCGCCCTCGGGGGCAATTCCTCCCCCAGCGCCAAGGACATCAAGAAAATTCTGGACAGCGTGGGCATCGAGGCCGACGACGACCGGCTCAACAAGGTAGCTGCTCCGGCCCGATACTCGGCACACAGGCGGCACCTCTCCGGTCGGGTCTGAGCTTTACTTTCGGGGAAACGTTGTATGACCTGCCTGCGGGTTTGAGGGGAGTCTTGTGCCAGTCCAGGTGGTCATCTCTTAGGTAGATTTTCTGTGGCCTTCACACAGCGCCAGGGTTGCAAAAGTGGGCGCGATAGGCAAGGGCCTGACCAGCGTGGTTTAGGAGTTTAATGCAAGTCAGGCGTGTAATTTACAATTTTTTTGTAGCCAGGTTTAACCAAAAAGGGAAAAATGGGGAAGTTATTTTTAATGGTATTTTAGTGACCCCAAGGTGTTTGAAGTATTGTTGCGTGGAGGTAGTGTAAGCAAGGACATATTTTTATCTATCTGTAGGTTCTTATTCTATTCAGGTAGTTTCCAAGTTAAGATGTACGCTAGTGAAATAGAGTCACACTTACTGCCGTTTTTTGTTTTGTATACGTCAGTATTGCAGTGTGTAATGTGCTGATGTTATTCTCAGGTGTTCACTCAGATGTTCACTGTTATACTTTACTCTTCAAAGTATTGTCACATAGCAGGCAATAATGAAAACGTGTTAAAAAAAAAAAATCAGATTTAAGCCAGTGATCAGAACAGAATGTGTTGTAAGTTGGGAACTACCTGTACTGAGTCCTAGGAAAAGTCCATGTGTGTTTCCCACACACAGTACAGGTCAGCTCAGTAGTCCCATGTGGGCAGTACAGGTCTAGAGGCTTCCGAACATGTACCAGTGTGGCGCCCCTGAAACCGGCCCTGCCCTGCCCCCAGAGGTCTCTGTAGTAACTGCTGGTTCTGGTTCTCTACTCCAGGTCATCAGCGAGCTGAACGGGAAAAACATTGAAGACGTCATTGCCCAGGGTGAGTGTATCTGTAGGGGGACATTTCTGGGACTGCTGTGGTCTTCATGGTCCATCCTAATCCCTGCTGGCCAGCCTGTGGCCTGCCAGGTTTCGCTTGTGGACCAGAGCACCCTAGAAGCCTCACCCGGAGGAGTGAGCAGGGATCAGTGGGCTCACTCCACGGGTGCTTCTAGACACTCCCAGGAGCTGGAGCCGCCTCCGGGACTCAGCTACCCTGAGCCCTTTTCCCAGGATCTCCCTGAAGCCAGCAGTTTCTTGGGGACGTGGTGTACAAGATCCTTTGTAAATTGTTTTCACCACATGGTCCCTGTGGGCAGGGTTGGGAGCAGACACGAGGAGTACCAGACATGGACGTAGGCTCTTGCTCCCCTTCGCTGCCCAGATGCGTTTCTGGTGACGTCAGGCTGGGGCTGCTGGGACTTGCTTGGAAGTCGAGCTGTCGGGGCAGCTGCTTACTGTCAGGTGACCTGGCAAGGTCAGCTCAGCAAACGGCCTGATCCATGAGCTCACCATGGTGGCCGAGGACGTGGACACGGGGGCAGCAGCTGGTTGTAAACATGTTTGTCTAATGTACTGCTGTGGGTCTGAGTTTCTTGGAAACGATTCTTAGAAGCCAAGTTCCGTGATAGAAGTTTGCCGTATTGGGACGGGTTGGGGGAGGGGAGTCCTTGGCAGACTATAAAGGAGAATCTGGGCCTGTCCCCGGGGGGTTGGTGGCAGCCTGCTGTTCTGGGAGGGGAGCTCCAGGCACTGGCACGAGATGCTTGGGCCCCGTGTGTTGCTGACCGCTGACCGTTCGCCTCGGCTCCTGTGAAACTGCCTTCCAGGCTCTGGGAAACTCACCCTGGGCTCTGGTCTGGTCTCCCTCTCTGGTTCAGGTATTGGCAAGCTTGCCAGCATGCCTGCTGGTGGTGCTGTGGCCGTCGCTGCTGCCCCTGGCTCAGCAGCTCCTGCTGCCAGCTCGGCCCCAGCTGCAGGTGAGTGCGGGGGGAGCACAGGGGCAGGGGCTCCAGAGGTGGCTTCAGTTGGGAGTCCTGGTATTAACGGAGAGAGCTGTTTCACCGCCTTTGTTGTTTTTTCTGCAGCAGAGGAGAAGAAGGAGGAGAAAAAGGAGGAGTCTGAAGAGTCGGATGACGACATGGGCTTTGGCTTATTTGATTAAACTCCCGCTCCTTGCAGATAAAGCCTTTTTACGTATCTGTTGAGCATTCTGGGGGCACTTTGTCCAATGGCATTTGTGGGCTAGGGGGAGGTACAGCGGGCAGTCAGGAAGCCATTTGTCTGTGGGATATGGAGGAGGATTCTCCTGGGACAACAGAGCTTTGAGGAAGGCGGTTGCTTAAGGATCTAGGGGTGGGGTCTTGAGATCAATGAGGGTCTCTGCAAAATGAGCAGCTAGGATCTGAGCAGGGGAGCCCAGGGCATCACAGCTGATGGGGGGCGCTTTCTGTGAATATTGGGTGTGGTCAAGCCTTGAGCAGGCTTCTGAGTGGGCATGAGACCCCTTTGGCCCCAGCCCTGTTTCTGAGGACCCTCACAGTCTTCAGGGTTACACCGAGGGAATAGATACGGACATCAAGACGACCGATGCTGTTTGGGTGGACTTGCCCTTTTCCTTGGATGCCCAGAGCTAGTGGCACTCTAGCCCAGTGCTGTGGGTTACCTGCGGGGATCTAGTTCTTGTTTGAGCTGGTATCCCTGCTCCACCTTAACGCCCATGTGACTCAGTTTCCCCTGCAGTACGTTGCTGGGCAGATGAGCAAGTGGCTTGTGGGCAGTGAGTCCTGTTAGAACTGAGCGGGGAGACCCCAGGAGGAGAGTCTCCCCAGAATGTGGGGCAGAGGGCAGAGCCCATGCCCCCTCTGGCCCTGCAGGCCTCTGCCCACCGGCTGGTACTCCGTTCCCCCACTGCCAGTAGGCACTGCCTCTCTACTAGCTGTGGTGCGTGGGCCACGTTGTGGGCCAGGCTCTGTTCTGGGACACGGCTGGGAGCTGCTCTGGTGGGAAGACGAAAAATAATCAGTACAGCAAATGTGTCCTTGGGTGACACAAAATGTTACTGAACTCTACTAGGAAAAAAGCTGGTGGTTTGAAGCCATCCAGAGGTGCCTTGGGAGACTGGGCCTGGCGATTTGCTTCTGAAAGGTCACAGCCACTGAAAACCTATGGAGCAGTTCTCTGACAGACGGCGTCAAAAACAAACAAGATGGGGGGTGGGGGGTGATGACTGGCGTCTCCCTTAGGGAGCTGAGGCCTGAAGGAGGGAGGAGCAGAATAGGGTGTCCAGGTATGAGTTTAGGCAGAGGACCCAGGGTGGGTGTGAGGGGAAGGGACAGAGTAGCCACTGGCCTGTGGAAGAAGGGGCCCCAGTAGTTATCAGAGGAGTGGGGGCTGCAGGAGTGGGAGAGACCAGGGCTCTGCTCCATCCCAGTCCAGATGAGGAATGGAGGGGGCCTGGGACCATTTTGAGGGCAGAGGTGGGCGGAAGCGAGCAGATGGACGATGAGGGGTAGAGGCAACCCAAAACCTGCCCTGGGGGCGGGGGGTGCTGGCAGCCCTGTGTACCAGCGCGGCGAGAGGAGTGAGGTTGTGGACACACAGGGCGGAGATGCGGACTCGGGATCCAGGGCACAGATGTCACCCGCCCAGGCTCAGACTCAGGAAGGGGACCTAAGGCCCCACGGCAGGGGCCTGTGACACCCCGCCTGGCGAAACCATCGCACATCTGACAGCAGGCATCAGGAGGGTCCTCTGGCTGCTCGTTGGAGCCCACACTGGCCTGGGGGAGAGCCCCCTGCTCCTGGTGACAAGTGGACAGAGGACAGCTGGGGGTGACACTTTCCACCCCCATCCAGGATTCTGGGAACTGTTGCTCTGTTCCTAGCCCTCTTAGCTGAGATCCCAGGGGCCCCGAGGGAGGGGATATGTACCCAAAAAACCCCCAACAGGGTGTGGAAATGGGGGCAGAGGTTCCCCTGTGGCTGGGCAGCAGCCCACTCTGGGGTGGAGCCTGCTCTGCAGCCTTTGCAGGCCTCTCCTTGAGCAGGCAGGGAGGCTGGGGTTAGGGTTAGGCGCTTGGCTCAGTCTGCGCTGTCCAGCTTCCCGCTTGATGGTCCCTCCAATGGTCCCCTGATGAATAAAGCATCCGGAGCGCCCCTCCACCCCCTCAGGCCTCCCAGGCTGGCCTTGGGGACTTCTGGGTCTGCCCCATGCCCCTGTTCCACATACTCCACCCCCACTGCCTCCAGCGGCATCAATCATCCTGATCCGGCCACACACTCCACAGCACCCCCAACCGTCCCTCCTGGTCAGTGGACCTGTCGGCCATACCCACATCCAAAGCATTTGGGGGACGGGATCAGTTATGGATTGAATAGTGTCCCCCAAAAATGGGTCAGCTTGGCTAGGCCATGATTCCCAGTATTGCGTGGTTGTCCTCCATTTTGTGATCTGATGTAATTGTCCTATGTGTTGTCAATTCTAATCCCTGCGGTTAATGAGGCAAGATTAGGTTATGTTAAAAGAGGATTAGGGTGGGATACAACACCCTTACTCAGGTCACTGCTAACCAAAAGGTTGGTAGTTCAAATCCACCGGATGCTCCTTGGAAACTTTATGGGGCAGTTCTACTCTGTCCTATAGGGTCACTATGAGTCGAAATCTACTGGAAGGCAACAATGGGTTTGGTTTTTTTTCTTTTTTTTGGTTTACTCCGGTCACAGCCCTGATCCATGAAAGGGAAGTTTCCCTGGGGTGTGGCCTGCATCACCTTTTATTTTACAAGAGATAAAAGGAGAGAAGACAGCCAGGGGAGAGACAGACTTCCTACCACCAAGAAAGAAGAGCTGGGAGAGGAGTGCCTCCTTTGGACTTGGGGTCCCTGTGCTGAGAACCTCCTAGACCCAGAGGACGCTTGATGCCAAGACACATGGAGAGCTCCAAGGAACTCAGGGCCCACAGAGACTGAAAGGAGACAAAGGCCTTCTGCCAGAGCCGACAGAGAAAGCCTTCCCTTAGAGCTGGAGCCCTGAATTTGGACCTCTAGCCTCGTAAACTTTGAGAATAAATTTGTTTGTTAAAGCCACCCACTTGTATTTCTGTCATAGCAGCACTAGGTAGCTAAGACAGGGTCCTATCTGCAGAGAAAAGGAGGGGGTCTTCTTAAGTCAAATCCAGTCACATAGTCCCTCTCTACTGCCCAGCGCCTGAACTGACTCCCCGGTCCCCAAACCGTGCACCCTGAGGGCCTTTGCAGAAGCTGTTTGGCTGCCTGGTGGCTCTGTGCCCTTCTTTGGTTACCTCTGCTTATCCTTCGGAGCTCAGTTCACTGTCACCACCTCAGGAAAGCTCTCCCAGCCCCCTATCTCCTCTCACGCCTCATTTTGAGCTTGTGTGAACAAGCCACCTCCCCCCAGGAGCTGGGGCCTAGACTGACCTGACCGCTGTTCTACCCTGTCTGTCCCTGTCATGGGCATACAGTAGGTGCTCAGTGTGGGGTGACTGGGAGCACTGAGGCTGGGGACTGGACAGCATGACCCCAGATGGCTGTGTCCTCGGGAGGCCCTGCTCTGTGGCTCTTTCAGCCAGTCCCGGGAAAGGGCAGCGCCAAGCCCTGCCCCAACCCTCTGCCTCCCAGGGGAATGTGATCCTGGTGAGACACACGCCCTGACCCCCTTGTTTGGGGTGTTGGGGTGGGGTGCAGGGCTGGCTTCTGAACCCAAACCAGGCTAAGCCTGCTCCGCAGTCCAGGGAAAAATGCAGAAAGGCGGCAGGAGAGCGCCATCATCAGGGAGTGCTCCACCTGCTGGGGTAATTAGCGGGGGCGGGGCAGGTGGAGTCCGGGGCCTCCACCTCGTACTTAGATCCGTACCCAAGTGGACCCCGCAGCCTGAGGAGCCTAGAGGAGCCAGGGTCGGACCCAGGTGAGTGGTCCAGGTACTAAGGCCCACAGGGCTGGGTCCGGGCGGAGACCTGGATGTCAGGGTGCTGCGTCTGCGGCCTGGTGTCACCTCCGGGGTGTTAACATTCACCCTGGCGGGGGTGTTTACGGGTCGGAGTCTGGGTGTATGGCGGGGCTTCCGGGGACCGGGAGAGTCTGTGGTCTGCGTGTAGGTGTGGAGGCCCTCGTGGGTGCTGTCGGCGTGCACTGCCCTCTGGGCGAGCTCATGGGATGGAGATAGCAGGAGGATTCCGACGGGAGGGGTGCCCACTCTGCGAGCACTCCCAACTCCAGGCTAGGGAGGCCCTTCCCTCAGCCGCCCACGATGGGAGCGGGAAAGGGCCGGTGGAGGCCAGGGTGCGTGGGAGCGTATCGGGGCCGGCCACAGGCGTCGCGGTTCAGAGTTCGGCACCGCGGGAGGGGCCCGAGAGCCCGGGAATAGGAACAGGGCGGTGGGCGGGACCGGCCGCGGGGGCTCCGGGACCGCCCCGAGGGCGTGGCCGTTCCCCCGCGCTCCCCCATTGGTCCGCGGGCCCCGGCCCCGCCCCCGCCCCCGCCCCCTTCCACCGCTCACCCCACGGTGATAACGCCGCCTCCGCAGCCGCCCGGAACAGCGTCTGTGCCTACGCCGGCGGGGACCCCAAACCAGAGCAGCAGCGGGACCCGCGCCGCACTGCGCCGGGGCTGGCCGGGGTCCGAGGCTCCAGTGAGCGAAAGGCGAGCGAGGGGCGAGCGCGCGGCAGACGGCTGTCCAGGTCCCCGCGGAGCCCCGGAACCCGGCGGGGCGACTGCCGCGATGTTCCCCCGGGACACGACGTGGAACATCTCGTTCGCAGGCTGCGGCTTCCTCGGCGTCTACCACATCGGCGTGGCCTCCTGCCTCCGCGAGCACGCGCCCTTCCTGGTGGCCAACGCCACGCACATCTATGGCGCCTCGGCCGGGGCGCTCACGGCCTCGGCGCTGGTCACTGGGGCCTGCCTGGGTGAGCGGGGCCGGGTGTAATGGGACACTGTGCCGAGAATCCTCTGTCTGCGGCCGGGACGCCGGCCTGAGGATCAATCCCAGGCACTGGACAGGGGCGGGGCCTAGTCTGTTTTGTTCCGAAGTGCTCAGGGACTTGGGGAAGGCCGGGCGAGCTCCTGGGGCTGGGACTGCCGCCTGGTGCCCACCTCTCGGCGGCGCAAAGGTTATGGGGCGGACAGCTGCGGCAGAAGCGGTTTCATTGGAAGGAGAAGTAGCCCGTGGGCGGGACTGTGAGAGTCGTGGGAGGGCCTTCGGTTCCCCAGGGCGTCGGACCAGGTGCCAGCGGTCACTGTGTCCTGGGACTACGCCACTCCAGACCGCCACAGCCCCGGGCCACATGTGGCCTCCGAGGGCGCGTGTCCTTGCAATTTGGACGGTCTCTGGAGGAGGAGCCCAGCCGAGCTCTCCCGTTCCTTGCACGGCCCCCTGGGGCCTCGGTCACAGCAGTGGCCCACCCTCTCTTTTGCCCACTCCATGGGGGTGAGGGGCTGTCGCTTCTGGACTCTCCAGTCTGTGGGCAGGGGTCCTGCAGCCAGGAGGGCAGGGGTCTGGTGTGCTGGATGGCCCTTCTTCCCACACACTTCCGGCTTAGCACGTGCTGTGGTGTTTACTGCATGCCGAGTACTCCTCCGGGAGTCCTGTGCTGCCCAGCCCCCCAGGGCAGCTGAGGTGACAGAGGGCTCACCGGGATCTTAAGTGCTCCGCCCAGCAAAAGCATGTGCTGGGTTCCTGCCCCCTTCCTGGGACCTTTGTCCTGAGGTGGTTGGGGAGCAAGGAACACAAATCTACATTCTTGGGACCTGTGGAGGGGTCACTGCTGGGGTCCTGCTCACCCTCTCCTGCCTGCCCCATGGAGGCCTTCAGATCAATGCCATTGGCCCCCATGCATGCCCTAGGACATAGCTATATCCCTGGTACTCGCGATGAGGACACAGCTCAGAAAGTGCCTCCCCCACCCTGCTTCTAATAAGCCTCCTGTCACGCATGGTCTCCAGCAGCGTGGGCAACCATGGTACGGCAGGTGGCTTGAGTGGTGGTGGTAGATCTGGGCGCTGGCCGAAAGGAAAGGTGGTCCCAGGGGAGGGCATGGCCCTCAGCCCCTCCCCAAGGCCCTCCTGCTGCCTGACCACCCCTAAGGGTGTCCTGAGCCAGTGCCCATGGGCTCCTGAAAGGAGTGTTGGGGGAATACTTGCTCTTGGCTACTTGGGGACACAGTTAATGTAGTTTTCAGGGGTAGGGCCCCCCCTGCTTCTGACCCCATGCCCCAGGCCTGTGGGACCCCTGCACTGGGCTGGAGCTGACCAAGCAGGTGAAGGCTGAGGCTGGTCAGAGTTGAGTCACTGCTGTCTCCCCATCCTACATGGCCCAGTGACTCATGGGGCAGGCAGTTGGGAAATACCAGGCAGAGGGCAGTCCCAGCCCCGACCGGCCAGTCCTGCCTCTCTGCCATCCCGGGAGTGGTGGCCTGCCTCTCTCTCTCCCCAAGGGCAGGTGGCAGAAGTCCTAACTGTGTACCAGGCTCTGGCTGCAGCAACCCGGATTCCTCCAGAGCTGATCGGGATGCCACCTGCCCTAGGCCATGTGCTACATGACCCTGGGCGTGGAGCTGGGGGGTGAAGGAAGGGTGCTAGATGCTAAGCCCGGGATTGCTGGTCCCTGACCCCTGCTCACTGGCCTTGTTGCCCCAGGTGAGGCTGGTGCCAACATCATTGAGGTGTCTAAGGAGGCCAGGAAGCGGTTCCTGGGCCCACTGCACCCCTCCTTCAATCTGGTGAAGACCATCCGTGGCTGCCTGGTGAAGACGCTGCCTGCTGACAGCCACGAGCGGGCCAGCGGGCGCCTGGGTATCTCCCTGACCCGGGTCTCGGACGGCAAGAACGTCATCATATCCCACTTCAACTCCAAGGACGAGCTCATCCAGGTGGGCCCTGGTGGGGCTAGGTTGGGGTTGGGGTCTGATCCCCAGGCCCCTGCTCACCGCCCCCTCTGTCCCTACCCCATAGGCCAATGTCTGCAGCACCTTCATTCCCGTGTACTGTGGTCTCATCCCCCCCTCCCTCCAGGGCGTGGTGAGTATCCCTGCCTGGCCCAACGTGGGGATGCCTTTTTTGGGATGATGACAGTCGGCCTGTGTCTGGGCGGTGGGACAAGAGGCAGAGAAGGAAGGCTTTGTTGTGCACCCCCCCACCCCAGCCCTCACCCCTACTGGCTGTCTATTGCCTCACTTCCGGGCCTGGTTACTTCAGAGGCAGCCAGCCCTGAGAAGACATGCTTCCTGGCGCCCCCCCTCCCCCCTTGCAGCCATTTGCTCAGTGCCCAGGCCAGCCATGGTCAGTGCCCAGTGGGTGAAAGGCTCACACGAGGTAGCAGCTGGAGGGGTGGGCAGCCAGGAGGGTGGCCGTCAGTTTGGCCTGCAGGCCCCTCACCATGGGTCCACGTTGGCCTGCAGCGGTATGTGGACGGCGGCATCTCTGACAACCTGCCACTCTACGAGCTCAAGAACACTATCACCGTGTCCCCCTTCTCGGGGGAGAGCGACATCTGCCCGCAGGACAGCTCCACCAACATCCACGAGCTGCGAGTCACCAACACCAGCATCCAGTTCAACCTGCGTAACCTCTACCGCCTCTCCAAGGCCCTCTTCCCTCCGGAGCCTATGGTGAGCTGCTCTGGGGCTGTGGCGCGCTGCCTCTTCCTCTGAGTGCTGGGGGTGAGAGGGGCCCTGCACAGCTGCTCCTGAGAGTCAGGTGGGAGGCTGTTCCATACAGACTCTCCTGAGCACCCAGGGTGGGTAGGGGCCCTGCACAGCTGCTCCTGAGAGCCGTTCCATACAGCTGTTCCATACAGACTCTCCTGAGCACCCAGGGTGGGTGGGGGCCCTGCACAGCGTCTCCTGAGAGCCCGGGGTGGGGCGGGGTCCCTGCAGCATCTCCTGAGAGCCCAGGGTGGGGTGGGGTCCCTACAGCATCTCCTGAGAGCCCAGGGTGGGGCGGGGTCCCTACAGCATCTCCTGAGAGCCTAGGGTGGGGTGGGGTCCCTGCGCTATCTCCTGAGAGCCCAGGGTGGGGCGGGGTCTCTACAGCATCTCCTGAGAGCCCAGGGTGGGGTGGGGTCCCTCCAGCATCTCCTGAGAGCCCAGGGTAGGGTGGGGACCAGGACCTGTACAGCCTCTCCTGAGGTCTGGGACAGAGGGCGACCTCTTCCCTGGGTGGGAGGTGGTGAGGGGGCAGCCTGTCCAGCCTCTTCCTTTACAGGATGGAGATAGGTGTGTGCCTATGGGGAAAGTGTCTGCAGGGACTCCAGGGACTCAGGGCTGCAGAACAGGCCATATCTGGGCCACCCCTGCTTCAGCTTGTCCATCCCCCTGCCCCAGGTGATGCGCGAGATGTGCAAGCAGGGCTACAGGGACGGCCTGCGCTTCCTGCGGCGGAATGGTAGGTGGGCGCCTGGGCGCTGGGGACGAGCTGCACTACCCCGCCCCGCCCCGCTCCCTCCATGCAGCGGGCTGGGTGGGCGGGTCGGCTAGGCGCTGCTGCCCCCTGCGGGCCATCGCGTGCCACGCTGATCCTGCGTCCCCATCCCCACCCTACCAACAGGCCTTCTGAACCGGCCCAACCCCCTGGTGGCCCTACCCTCCGCCAGTCCCAGCGCCCCGGCGGATGAGACCGCGGAGGAGGCTGAAGCGGCAGATGAGACCGCGGAGGAGGCTGAAGCGGCCTCGGAGAGGACCCGAGCGGAGGACCACCCGCAGCCGCCCGGGGAGGATCACATCCTGGAGCACCTGCCCGCCAGGCTCAATGAGGGTGCACGACGGGGAGTAGAGGGAGGGGATGGTGCACCTGCCTGCAGGAAGTCCTGGGCCCCCCCATCCCTGCTGGCCGCCAACTTCCATCTTCCACCCGACCCGCAGCCCTGCTGGAGGCCTGCATGGAGCCCAAGGACCTGCTGACCATCTTCTCCAACATGCTGCCCGTGCGCCTGGCCACGGCCATGATGGTGCCCTACACGCTGCCGCTGGAGAGCGCCGTGTCATTCACCATCCGGTAGGGGGTTGGGGGCGCTGGAGATGGAGCTGTGGGCTCGTCTGTCTGTGAGCGACAGTCACCCAGGAGAGGCAGCCGGAGGGGGCAGGGGAAGACACTATCAGTGTCTCTGAAGCTGGCCATAGACAGAGCCAGGGGGGTGGGTGTGGGCCCAGCTTTGCCCTGAGGCTGCGCCCCCCCCCCCAGCTTGCTGGAGTGGCTGCCCGACGTCCCTGAGGACATCCGGTGGATGAAGGAGCAGACGGGAAGCATTTGCCAGTACCTGATGATGCGCGCCAAGAGAAAGCTGCGCAGCCACCTGTCCTCCAGGTGACCTGCCCTGCCTGCCAGCGACCCCAGTGTCCGCAGCCTCGAGGCCCCTTTCAAGCCCTGCCTCTCTCCTCCCTCCCTGCTGCAGGCTGTCGGAGCAGGTGGAGCTGCGCCGTGCCCGGTCATTGCCCTCCGTGCCACTGTCCTGCGCCACCTACAGCGAGGTGCTGCCCAATTGGATGCGAAACAGCCTCTCGCTTGGGGACGCGCTGGCCAAGTGGGAGGAGTGCCAGCGCCAACTGCTGCTGGGTCTCTTCTGCTCCAACGTGGCCTTCCCGCC